ATTAATGCTTTCCAACCTTAAATRGAAATGTAAGTCCCACTAACCATCTTAAAGGCCTACCTAGTGCTAGATTGGAGTCATCTGGTCTTTAGGGGGTTGCAGCATAAGTTTAACTGGCCTTAAAAAGATTAAAAAAAAAAAAGTCATTATTTAAATAGGCCCCAAATTCTGATTTAGCAGGAAGGGCAAATGCTAAGCTAAGCTCCACACTCCTCCAAAACACATAGATCAAACTCGAGGTCATAATGCTACGGCTACAGGGGTTCGTGGCTTGCAAAAGTGAGTCTGGGAAAGAAGTGGTGGGGGCCATGCGCAGGGAACTGGAGGCCTCGGCATAAAAGCTGGGCTATTGATTTTTATAAAACCCAGCATCACCTTTGATACTCTGTTAAAGTTACACTAACGGGTTACTGGCACGGTTTCCAGCAGGATAATTGCAGCCGCAGTCTGAGTAATGTCTGCATGCTTTCGCCTTGCAAAGCGATCTCCCTTTATTGCAAAGAGGTTGAATGAAAAATGAAGGCGCTGACTTCTTCCTGGTTCGATATCTGGCATATTTTCCATATCTACTTTCTGTAAACCTTTTTTTTTTTTTTTTTCTTTCTTTTTTTCTGAAGGGCTTCCTAATGGAGAAGCTGCTTTAGTACTAGGAATGGTGACACTTGCCAAAGGCAACAACGTTGCTTCCAAAAACGCATTAGGTTCTGCCTCTCCAGTAAATAAAATGTTGTTGTGCTTGTTGTTCATCTGCTGCTTGGAGTCCGGGCTGGAAATGAAGGGACTTGCTCCTTTGGGATGCTCTAGGATCAGTGTTTCTGGCAAACCGTTATCCATTCTTACGGTTGGTCTTGTGCTTGCTCTAAGCATGCAAATTGAATGTGTGTGGAAGCTATGTTTTTCAAAGTGCCAATAAAAAGCACCAGTATTTAGGCTACTGTAAAAATCTTTGCCTTTTGTAGGAGGTTCCTGGACTATAAATGCGTGTTTTGGTTTCTTATTATTATTGTGTTATTTTTTCCTCCACACCACTATGGTTACTCTTGGAAAYAGTTGCCATTGGTATTAGCCGAAAAATTCAACATCACTCTTGGTCCCTGCTCAGGATAAATGAGACAGGCTGCGATGTTCTTGTAGCCTGTTGAGTACTTGGTACATTTGCAGTATGTGGGTTTCAAGGGCATTGGAGAACAAGGTCAGGAAAKTATCTGAGCTGGAGACTGGTGGCTGTGGTGGAGGTGTGATTGGACACCATCTACCAGGGCCCTTCAAGGCTCTGCTGCTGTAGGGATGCTTGGGGCTGTCTCCAAAGTGAGGAACCAGCTGAGAAACATCTTGATGCTACCTACCATCCTTTCTCAAGGACGTTCTCAAATGTGAGCCCTTCTGCCTGATTGGTGCTTGGAGGTCTCCCTGTTGGCACCAAAGCAAGGGATGGGCATGTAACTCTTCTGCCTGGAAAGTGTGATAATGCTCAATCCTCTCCTCCGGCAAGGCTGCCAGTGTCTCTTGCCCTGAGCGGTTTCCAGTTAGGAGCCTTCAGGGCTGTCTAATCCCCTGCGTGATTTTCTATGTACATATATATGGGATGTCTGGAAGAGGGTTAAAGTTAATTTAGATGTCTGGCTGTATTCAGCCCTCTAATTTTTGCCATTGCTTCATTATAGACTGTGTTTCATCTCTTCACTTCTCTAAATCATCTGAAGACACTCATTTTTGAGATAAAGTACAGCTGCTTAAGGCTAAATCCAGATACGGTGCTGATCRTATTCCTGGAAGGCCAAAAGGACATGGAGAGAAACATGAACTTAAGGACAGAGGTGAGGCTGCAATTTAATGGGCTTTTTGAGTTGCTGTCCCTGCTGGTTCTCATGCTGGAAGTTACTCACGTTTGAGCTTTCCCAGGAGCTGCCCTTGAAGCCACAGCAGTTGCTAGTTGTAAAATTGGTAACGYTCTCGTAGGGTAAAGCGTTGTGACTGGCAGCAAGCTCACAGCTTCAACTTGTGGTCTATTCTCAGAGGCATGTCTCTATGTACAGCCCTTAATCCAGCTCCTAAGTCAACTATCAGCAGTGGATTGTTGGGTTTTTCTGTTTATTTTATTTTATTTTATTTTATTTTATTTTATTTTATTTTATTTTATTTTATTTTATTTTATTTTATTTTATTTTATTTTATTTTATTTTATNATTTTATTTTATTTTATTTTATTTTATTTTATTTTATTTTATTTTATTTTATTTTATTTTATTTTATTTTATTTTTTCCTTTTTCTTTCTTTTCCCTACACAGCGCCTAACGCCCCATGGGAAATGATCACCTGCTGGACTACTTTAAACTTCTGCTGAGGTTGCATGGTCAAGAAGGTGAATTGAGGCCACCTTTTTCTATCTGGGCCTAAAAGCCTGATTTTTTTTCTTTTTTTTTTTGTGTTTGTTTTTAAGTAAAGCTATAGATATCAAAATAGAGAGAATAACATAGGGAGGGGTTGTACGTAGGGCCTAGTGAAAGAGTGGTGAAGGTGCTCTCAGCCTGGATAGCTTTTGTGGTATATGGTGGCAATGGTTAGATAAGGGCTCTTTTCCTGGATTTACTGATTTCCCCCTGATTTGGATGGCATGTGATGCCCATACTTTCCAAGCAGGCTGGGATGCTCCCCTAGACAGTATATCGCCGAGTTCAGTAGAGATCTAGAAGCAGTTAGTTCATCATGGTGTGCTTGGTGCAGACTTGAACCYTTGTCACCCAAGACACCTTGTCTCCTTACCAAAATCTGCAAGACTGTGCCTTTTTCTGTGACTAAATTTTTAATCTACTCTCTTTTATGTTTTGGGGTTTGCTTTGATTAGAAATGAGGTGGGAATCTGCATGCACTTTGATTTGGTTCATGTTAGAATCTAAAATTCTAGAAACTTRGGGTTGTTTCAAATTAAAATACATTTGTGATACATCTGTAGACAGCTCCATTATAAACCTCTGCTATAGTTGGGTGCTACCTGGTTGTCTTCTGTCTTCTAGCTGGGAGGTCAGAGCTGGTCCTTCAATGTGAAAAAGAAATAATGATTTTTTTTTTATGACCCTGGAAAGCAGTGCTTGATATCAGCAAAATCTGCGTGTTTGCTTAGCATATATTTTATGCATTTTTTTTTTCTGGTGCATTTTTTTCCCTGCTAGTTCCYTGACGGAAGCATCTTGCTCCAAGGACCTTGAGGAATGTGGAAATTATTATATAAATGAAGTGCTCCAGGAGGAGCAATGTTTTAACAGGCTGTTTTAGCCCTAATATTTTCATAAGGCAACTCAGAGGCGCACAAACATCCATGGGTGTTTGTGACAAGCCATTGGCAGCAGCGTCTTGCGGGTGGCTTTGGTGTTGGGAGASGCAAAGAGTACTTGCGCATTTGGGCTACAAGATCTTGAGCCACACAAGCTTTTGCTACACAAGGTGGCGCTCTTGGCCTTTCAAAAAGGCAATTTTTTTTTTTATATATATATATAATTATTATTACTGTATCTTATGTTATTTTCAGCAGTTTGCCCTCGTGCGTACTTCAGTCCCTGCTTGTTCCTGCTGGCAGAGCCAAGCTTCCATAGGCAGCCAGCTGGTCTCCTCCAAGGGCTGCTCCTCCAATGAGGATGGCAACTGGGATAACTGGAGGTTTCCAACCTTCCGTGGAAGGCCAGAGGGACAGAAAATGCACTACGCCTCCTACAAATGAGAAGGCTCAAATGTGATATTTCCCCCCCTTAACTTTAAGACACTTTTGAAGCACTCTTCTCCTCCATACACATCCTGGCTGTTTTTCTCCCCCTTCTCACCGTGCTTGGACAGCGGCCTCTGCCCTCCTTTCTGGAAGGAAGGCAGCTGGAAAAGCGATATGGGAACGGAYGGTGCCCTTTGCCAGGCAACTTTAAAAATGCATATGCAAGATGGGTTCTTCCAAATAAGTCCAAGAAGGGTGAATTCCTGCCTCCTCCCAGGGCGCTGACAAGTACCCAGGCTCACTGCCCTCCCCAGCTGGTAGCTGGTCTTACCCCCCGCCTCACACCTGGGAGGACCAACCACCCCAGGCTCCCGGTGCTGGATTCTGGGTGCTTGGTGTGCAGGGTAGAAGGACATCTCAGTGGGGAAGGTTGTAGGGTGAGATGTAAGGTGTCCTGGCAGGGAAGGATGGAGGGATTAACCCGGGCTGCTCCTGGACAGAGGGATGAAGAGATGGGGATGAAATATTGGGTGGAGGTGATTCCTACCTCAGGGGAGTGAGGCGGCAGTCCTTGGTGGAGTGGGACATGGGCTACCCCAAGAAGAGATATGAGGACACTGCAGGRATGAGGGATGGGATGAAGGGTGCAGCAGGCGGTGAGTACTGCGGGGCAGTGGGGAGGTGGCTCCACGTGGCTCATTAGCAGAAGGCAATTTAATATTTATGAAGTGCTCCCGCTTGAATCCCAAGTCTTCAGCTCCAGTTACAAGGAGCTGCGTCACCCTCCGATCACATGGTAGTTGTTGCTATTTCCAGGCTCGCAGCCTCGCAGAGTGGCACAAAAGCTTTCTCCCCACACCGTGTTTAATTTTTCTTCCTCTTTTTTTAATTTTTCCTCTCTTTTATTTATTTTTTTTTCCCCCGGCCTCCCAAATTTCCCCAACTCGCTCGGTGCTTCTGGGCCACTCACTGACAGGCAGCGCCGCGGGGAGGATGGAGCTGCCGCTGTGACCCAAGGGCGGGCAGGAGCCATCCACCCTCCCACCCCTTCCCAGCGCTTCTCCTCCTCTCGCCGGGAGCCGGATCCGGTCGCTCCCTCGGCTCCTCTCTTGGGTTGCCTCAATGAAAACTCCCGGGCGAGCTGCCGGCTGCTAGCGGGACGCCGGAGCGCCCCGAGGCCGCGGTGAGGGGCTCGCAGGGCGGGGAGGACTTTGCTTTCCTCCCCTCTGGCAAGATGAGCGAGCTGGAAGGCGACTTCACCAAGCTGCTGCTGCTGAAGGAGGAGCGCATCAAGGAGCTGGAGCGGCGCTTGGGCGAGAAGGACGAGGAGATCCAGGAGCTGCGGCGGCGGCTGCACAAATGCCAGTCGGTGCTGCCGGCGCCCAGCCCGCACATGGGGCCGCGCACCACCCGCGCGCAGGGCATCTCCGCCGAGCCGCAGACCTACCGCTCCTTCCACGACCTCCGCCAGGCTTTCCGCAAGTTCACCAAGGGCGACAGGTAGGACCCCCACGTACCCGGACCCCTTTTGCTCCAGCGAAAAAACACCCAAAGTTTTTTCTTTTTCTTTTTTTTTTTTTCTTTTTTTCTTTGGAGCGGGGGGAGAGGGGGCACAGCTGGGCTAGGTCTCCCCCCCCCTAATCTCTCCATCCCCCGCTTTGTCATCGATCTGCGCCGGCTTGCGAGCCCCGGAGGGGAAAGCAAACGCATTAACGGGCTTTTAGCTGCTGGAAAAAGCTATCGCATAACCCATTAAAAGCGGCTCGGCCCCCTCTTCCCTCCCTCCCTCCCTCCCTCCCTCCCTCCTTCCTCGCCCCCCCGCCGGCGCCGGCCCCGCGGGACGCCCGTGGGAGCGAGGGGGGCGGCCCGGCCGCTCCGCCCCGACGGGGCCCCCGGCGCAAAGTTTGCAGCCGCCTCCGCCGAGTCGGTTCGCGACCGCTGCGGAGGCTCCGAGCCGCCTTTTTATTTTCTTTTCTTTTTTTTTTCTTTCTTTTTTTTTTTTTTTCCTCCTCTCTTTTCCAGCAGCTCTCGTTATCCCACTCCCCAAGCTCCAGCAGATGCTGCCGGAGCTGCTGTCCTTCCCGCGCCTCCCCCCTCCGCCAAAAAAAAAATAAAAAAAATCTGTCTTTTGACTGTCCCAAAATCTCCGCCAGCTCCGAACAAGCCAAAGCCGCTGCTCCTCCACCCGGATCCTTGAGTGCTTTGCACCGATTTATCCGTCACGGAGCAAGCAGCACCCACCGACGCGTTGGTATTTATTACTTTTTTTGCGGAGYGCACAATTATGGTCAGGATGGCGAGCGTCCCTGGAGTGTGTGTGCGCTCGGAGCGTATCGTGGGAAAAGCGGCGCCCCGGCGTCCCCGCGGGGCTCTGCTAATGTGGGGCAGGAAAGTTGCTGGCAGCGCATGACTCCGCGCGCGTCCGGCCCGCTTCAGCAGTAGTCGCAGCTCTGGTGCTCGTGGAGCAGCCGATGGACGGAGGTCTTGGTTTCCTCTGCGCGYAGTGTTTGGTTTGGACAAAAAGACTTTAAGAAAAGTCCCTTGGAAGTAATCCTGCTTTTCACCCGGGTGTGTTTGAGTTTGGGGTTGCAGCTCTCCCTAAATAGAGCTTGCTGTCACTCAAGGCTCTTCTCTTGATGGTCGCTCCCAGCACTTTGTTGAACAAGACTGTTTCTCCTCTAAAGATTAATGAACCATTCAATTATGATTTTATAGGTGTGTGTATATATTTCTTTTTTTTTTTCCCTGTAACTATCAAGGTGGATCTAATCAAACAAGCCGCTACACCAAGCRAGTTGCGTGGCCATTGCAGAGCAATTCATTCTTCCCTGTCTTAGCACATCCCTTGGTGTCACCACAAAAACCAAGCGTCACAGCAGGAGAAGGGCCTCGGCTCTGAATTTCTCCGGCCTGTCCTGCTGCTCTTCTCAAGGTGACCATCAGCTCAAGCCTCCRTCACCAACTACCACCTTCCCTTGTAAGGGCCAGGGTGAGGAGGATCACAAAGCCACCACAGGGTTGCCCACAGCCTTTGCTGTACTTTGGCCTAGCCCTTGGTAGCTGTGCCAGTGTTGACCAAGCTGATTTGTGGATTGTTCCAAACGTTTCCTCAAGGTCCATTCAAACCGCCTCCGTTACAGCCRACTCAGGCCTTGCGGAGTGAGCTACAATTAGTTTCCCAAACACCTCATGCCTGGGCTTTAGCAGTAGATAACATTGTCTAAACTGTTTATCCCACGGCTTTTCAAGACTGCGAGTGGTTTGGGAAGTGTAAAACATCCCTCTTCTGGAAAACCCAGGAGTGAATTCCCTATTGGAAAAATCCAGTGTGACATTTCATCTCATTTAGTTTTCAAATTAGAGCCGACGGAAACCTTTCTATCTAGGTATGTGTGCCTGGATCCTATTTTAAATATATTTTTTTTGTGAAAATATATTTACAACTATCTGCAATGCATTTAATTCTACTACTAACTCAAGTTGACTTCAATCTTTAGTTCAACTTGACTGCAAAGTGTACTAATGTATTTAAAACTCAGTCAATGCTAGTAAATGACACTAGAGAAACTCAAGAGGTAGCTAGATGCTGATAGCTAAATACATTCCTGAAGTATATACTGGGGTGGGAGTTGCTAAGACCTGAAGAAAGCCTCATAATAACACATCAAAAGATGTGTTTTCATCTGCATGTGTGGTGTTATTTGTTTATTCTTTCAGAGGACTTCATTTTACTGGAGGAAATGAAAACATGTAGATGGCCACAGACCTACAGCCATTCCCAGGTATAAATCAAAGCCTTTCCAAAGAGCCAGGATGCTGCAACTCCAAAAAGTACCAAAGCGATGTGAAATGTTTCCAAAATCCCTCGGAGGGGTGCTAATCTACGGCTTTTGGCATCTCAATATGTTCTTCAATTAGGGGAAGCGCTGTCTAATTCCATCTTAACATGGAATTAGTGGAGTAGATGGGCTTTGATGGCACCGATGTAGCGCTGGGTTTCTTTGGAAACTGCCTTGATCGGATCAATAAATGGTAGTGTATAGATGTGCATTAATCACTAGAAGTAAGCTGTGGCAGCATGAACTGCTTTGAGTTTGTCATCATACCCTTAACTTGGCAAATAGCTTTTTGGAAAACCATGTATCATCTTCTGCCTCGCTTTCTCACCAAGGCAATGCTGCTGATACAGAAGGGTATCTCCTAGGGCAGAACTGATGTGTTCTCAGCCGTATTCCTGATAACTCATGCCTTTGAGGCACCAGCAGACCCTGTCCTCAACTTTTTTGCTGGGTTTTCTGCTCTTTCCCGTTGTTTTGGAAGGCATTTGCCACAAGATGGCAGTGGGGCCTAAGGTTTAGTACGAAGTGTTGTGGTGTAGTTTGGTTTCCACTCAGTCAGTTGTTTCACCAATGTAGGTGGTCATAACAAAAACCCATCGTGAACCTCTAATTTTCCCAATTTCTGCACCATAACATATTCCCTTTCTTTGCTCTACTTCTCACAAGCTGTTCCTCAAAAAAGGAGACTGGGAAGGCTGGATAAGGTTTCCRTTGGAGTTTCCACCCCAATCCCTATCCCTCGTCGGCCAGGTTTTCTGGGAATTTGTCCCCTGTCAGGGTGGCCAAGTTGCTTTCATCTAGACGTGAGCTCATCATCCCAAAGGGTTATTGATCTGGCACCGTGTAATGAAATAAATAAAAAAAAAATAGCTGCCAGCTTCACTCGGTTCTACCTGTGGCTGTAATCGCTTGAGACCTCCAGATGCCAGAGAAGAATCGTTTTCTTGTCTCTGAATGTCAGGGGCAAGCATGTAACATGCTGTAAGAAGCAAAAAGCGATGCTTAGGCTGGGGAGGGCTTTTAAACTAATGAAAGCATTGCTTGGGATCCCAGGTAATTTAGTCTATCACTGATCCATTCACATGCACTGCCAGTGTGCTGTCACAGCACATTCCTCGGATGCTTCGTTCGCAGATGATCAACGCCTAGAGATCATCCGACCTCCTTTCAATTCCTTGATATTGCCAAGTTGAGGAAGAATTAAGCACCAAAGCTCCAGAAATTCTTAGTCTGTTGCATAAAACAGTTAAGGGTATTAGGTTTGGAAACAAGGAGATTTTTGCATGCCATGCAAAGAGAAATGAGGGAGCCATTAGGTCCCTCGAAGTCAGAGGTCAGCAAAACAAGTGGAAGGATTTTAGAATGAGCAAAGATTTATCGTTAATCAATTGAAACCATTTCCTTTATTTTAATTTTTAATGGGCTGAAGCTCCTGCTTGCCTTCCTGGGTGTAGCTTTTCCAAGGCTCCTAGTGAAGACCCAKGGGAATGAGCAATCGGTCAAGCGGGCAAGTCCTGGCTCCAAGAGAAGACGTCGAATGGCGTCTCTCTGCAATGAACCGTTCCCGGTAGCATCATCTGCGCTTCTCTATTCCAACATTTTTCAAACTACTTTTAGKGAGTCATAAGGCTTTGCTGCCTCCCTTGCGGGGCTTGGCCCCAGCCAAAGGGACTTTATTGGTAAAGTTTAGAGATTAGAGCACGAGGCACCTTCTGCCTGGGGAGAATTTGCCTGGTTGCATGATGAATCCCTGAAATGATGATTGTATAGAGACATTAAAGCTAGAGGTGGACAAARCATCAATGAGCTGCTGCTGCTCTCTCACAAATTTTTGATGTGAGCTCATTCGAAAAACAGAAAAGGGAGGTGGTATCTTGAATTCTCTTCCCACAATAGCCTTTGGATTTCTGGGAGGTTCACCTCAAGTCTGGAGAAGAAGGGAGAAGGAAAAAGCTGCGTCTCACCTGCAGTTACATCTTTTAAGAGMAGGAGATAGACTTAGGCATATATGGTGTTGTAAACTACGCAGCCACAGTTGATTTTTTTCCCTTTCTATTTAGTCCCAGTGAGTGTTGTTTTTGTTAGATCTTTAGACTGCTTCAAAGGTAACACTGYAGGAAAAATCCTCAGGGCAATAGAGTGCATCGAAGTAAAATGAGATTAATAGGATGAAGATAACACTGCACACAGTTCTCTGCAGTTTTACAAATTAGAAGCTTTTGGAAAAGAGCCTTCCCGAGTTATTCTTTCAGTTGCCCGTGGAGTTGGGGCAGGTCCTGGAAAATATCTAGCATAGCTTGGCATGGGAGTTCTTAGAGCTTTACCTTCTGTCATGACCTCCTGGCTGGAAAAGATGAGGGCTGCTTGGCCCCTTTTTTTACAGGCTTTTTCAGCATTTTTGCTGGTGGATRTTCCTTAAACATAGTTGTTCCATTAGTAATACAGCCATGCAGTCACAAGCAAACTATGCGCGCATAGAGGAGATGCTAAAAAAGACGGTGGAATGAGAACAGAGCTCAAGATAGCGCGTGGTTTATTAATGGTTAGGATGTTTTGGGCCTAATTGTGGGTCTTTTGGGTTTTGTAACCTCAAAAGGTGATGGATACTGAGGTTTTGGATCAAATTCACATTTTGCGTGTAGCCAAAGCCAACCGTCTGGCAAATTCTGCTGAATTCCATCAGATAGGGGAAGGGACTTCTTCTGGAGCGCTACT